ATGTAAACCTTTAACCCTTTTACATGTCCTATGGCAGTGGCAGCAGGGGCTTGTACACATACCAACTGTCAGCTTTTGTATTAAAAATAATCCTGTAGCTGTACAGAAACCCACTTGCGTTCAGTGTCCCCTAGAGAAACAAAGATGGCGCCATCGGCGTGCACAATAATGTCACTAGCCACAAGCTCCACCCAACACAGCAGACATTTCTGACACTGACGAGGACAGTTGTGTGGATACGTGTTGGGCAGAGCTTGTGACCATTGATGTTGTTGCGCAGGTCAATGGAAGTTCCATTGGCGCCATCTTTCTGTCAATGCAAGTTTCTGATATCCAAATGTAAGTGTATAAGCAAAATACATTTTATCTTGCTTTTATTGGCTGCACTATGAGGTGCTGTTCTTCCTCTTTCATGAGTACTTACCATTTGTGATACTGATGTGGAGCAGAAAGAGGACCAGTTTGGCGGAGCCATAAAACAATAAGAAGTGTGTGTATCCTGGTGGCATGGAGTTTTTTTCACAACATTGGCTCCTTTTGGGATTTGCACAGGATTATGATTATTTATAACTCATGTGAACATCACTTTTAGAGACTTTATTTCAATTTGCTGGACTTCATTGGATTTTTTCCTCATCTATGTACTTATATGTGGATTGCATGAATATAACAGAGATGACACACCTTTTTTTGAGTATTGTCACATATATTTTGTATCCAGACATTGTCTATGTCCAGCTGTCATTTCCTTTATACTTAAGTGTGGAATTTGTTTTGTTTTTAAAAGTGTTATAATTGCCTACAACAGAAACTGTGTAGCAGCTACACATTGTCAGAGAAAATAAGCAAAGAGCTCTGGATCTCCTACACATCTTTGCCACAATGCCACTGGTGTGAAACTGCCCTGATTAGAATGTGCATATGTGTAGTAAAATCTTTTGACTGGATGATCCTATAACTGCCACTACAATATAAAAGTTAATAAAGTGCAACCCTGATCCAGAAATATGGGCAACACTTAATGTAGCAGGCTCCGGGGGCATCCTGATCCTAACCTCACTACCTGGAGATTTACTGATTTTGAACAGGCATACAGCCAAAAAAGTCTGAGAAAGACAGGTATATCTTCCTTGTTTTATGTAAGTGAGTGACTATGTATCAAAGCCAGGATCAGGATGGCAACTCCATAGGTTGCATCTTTAAAAACAAGTCAGCAATGGTAGCTACCATATTTCCATCCTCATGAGAACCACCACTTTAGGACTGCCCTATAGCAGTTTTATTGCTACAGGGCGCTCCTATTGTGCAAAATCATGTATATACAATGAACAATCACAGCAGAAGCCGATTTGTGAGTACCAGCAAACAGATGTTCGCTGGTGCCCGCTGATTGTCCAGCAGGGACAAAGAACAGAGCTCTGCCTATATTAACAAGGCAGAGCTCTGTTCTGACCTGTGGGGAGTGAAAGATTGTATTCCTGTAAAGCTGGGAACACCATCTTTCACTTCCCATAGTACCAGCACCACCTAGTGTACACAAATCACATAGCTAGACACACTTAAAGTGTTACTAAACCCACAACAGTAAAATCAGTCTGTATATGCAGTAAAGCATGGTTGTGTTATTCACTGTGGAATCTAAGGGGTTAATCCTCTACATTGTGTAAAAATGCTGACTTCTCTGATCCTCCTTTTCTTCCAGTGTCCCCCTCTTATCTCCTGATAAGACATATCGAGTGCAGTCACTCTGCACATGCTCAGTTTGGTGTGTCTTGCTAGAGGGTTTTTTTTTTTTTCTTGGGAGAGTGTATGTGACCAGCACAGGGCCAATCAGCACTGTCCAGACAGAGGTCAGGGGTCCTGTATCCTCCTAGAGCAGAAAGAAACCTTCTTCTACAAGCTTTAACCAGTGCTCTGCTGGACACTGATAGAAGTCACAAGACTGCTCTAACTGCTGATGAGAAAAGGTATTTAGCAGTTTATATTTACTAAAATAATTGCATTTCCATGTTGTGTTTACTGTGGAAGATAGGGTTGCCACCTCATCCCTTTGAAACTGAACACTTATTAATTACACAGGTTCTAAAGCTAATTTATTGCAGATAAGGCACCAACTGAGTTTAACTACCACTTTAATCAGCCTCAGAACCTGTGTAATTAATGTGTTCGGTTTTAAAGGGATGAGGTGGCAACCCTTGTGGAAGACCAGATATAGTGAATGCAGGGTCCTGGGTTTAGTAACACTTTAAAGTTGCAGTGACTTCAAAGTAGTTCATGCCCTGCTTTGGTCCAACTTTCATGCAACTTGAGGGCCAAAGACTTCAATTTTAACTCTCGAAAGTTGCATAAAAGTGGTACCTTAACCACTTGCCCTCCTGAGGATTTACCCCCCTTCCTGACCAGGCCTCTTTTTGCTACTCGGCGCTGCACTAATTCAACTGATAATTGCGCGGTCATGCAATGCTGCACCCAAAAGAAATTTACGCCCTTTTTTTCACACAAATAGAGCTTTCGTTCGGTGGTATTTGATCACCTGTGCGCTTTTTATTTTTCACGCTATAAACAAAAAAAGACCCAAAATTTTGAAGAAAAACAATATTTTTTACTTTCAGCTATAAAAAATATATAGTAAACTCAAAGTTAGTTATAAATTTAGGCCAAAATGTATTCTGCTACATGTTTTTGGTAAAAAAAAATCCCAATAAGTGTATATTGATTGCTTTGTGTGAACGTTATAATGTCTACAAACTATGGTATAGATACTGCAATTTACGCCAATTTTTTGCTATACAGCGCTGCGCTAGTTTAACGGACAATTGCGCGGTCATGCAATACGGTACATAAATGAAATTTACATCCTTTTTTTTCCCCACAAATTGAGCTTTCTTTCGGTGGTATTTGATCGCCTGTGCGGTTTTTATTTTTTGCGCTATAAAAGAAAAGACTGACAATTTTGAGAAAAAAAAAACAATATTTTGGACTTTTTGCTATAAACATGTCCAGTAAAAAAAATTTAAAAATCAAATTTAGTCATAAATTTCTGCCAAAATGTATTCTGTGACATGTCTTTGCTTAAAAAAAACCCAATACGTGTAAATTAATTGGTTTACGTGAAAGCTATAGCGTCTACAAATGGCAGGAAAGATACTGGGATTTTTTTAAAATTATTCTAATAATGGCGGCAATCAGTGACTTATGGCGGTGATCAGCGATTTATGACAGTGATCAGCGACTTATGGCGGGACTGCGGCAGACATTTTGACACTGGAGGGGAACTGACTTGGGGTCACTGACATCCCCAGTGACACCAATACAGTGATCAGTGCAAAAAAAAAACACTGACACTGTACTAATGGCACTGGGGAGGAAGGGGTTAACTTTTATTAGGTAATGAAAGGGTTAGCTGTGTGAGGGGAGTGTTTTACTAGGGGGCGGGGGTGTGTACTTCACAAGAACACGCTGATCCCAAGAGATAAAGTCTTCTCTCAGGTTCAGCGTGCTCTGAACTGACAGATAGCAGAGCTGCAATGTAAACAATGCAGCTCTGCTATCTGTCAGTGATTACTTGCAATCACCGGCACCTGTGGGAAATGACCTGCCGGGAGCTGGTGACAGACACCTGCTGCCACGATCGGCGGGACAGGTAGAGCGGGCACGTGCCTCGCGCGCGCCGCTACCTGTTTTGCACAGCGTCGTTAAAAGACGGAGCTGTGCACACAGGTGCCGCCCTGCCGCAGTAAAAACACTGCGGCGGGTCGGCAAGCAGTTAATGTTTTACATGCAACAATGGTGAAACAGTAGGTCTTACTTTGCAGAGTGACAAGTCACATCCAAGTTGTGCCCATCCAAAGTTGCACTTCAAAGTCAAGCAACTTTGGAGTCATACAAGTGTGAATCTTAAAACCTTTACATTTTTGACAGGCAGTGTTCAAACTTAGTAAATCTGATGAGATATTTGCCTCTAGACAGGGTTAATTATAGCAAACACAGCAAAGTGAATTGAGTAAAATGTTTCCTTGCTGGATGTTTCAGAAAAAAAAGCACCTATAAAAGGTAAGCCACAATTTTAAAATATTCTGCTATGTGAAGTGTTTCCAATATACCCAGTGGTATTAAATTAGATTGATAATTAATGCCCCTCCAATTCATTCTGTATCAACTTGGATGGAAATATCCATTGAAACCTGGTAGTTCAGGCCTCCCATCTTTCCATCTCCACCTATTAATTTTAAACTGACCGCTCTCCTGGTGCTCACTGTGACTCCTTTCTAGGCCCTGTTCTACTAGTTTACTTTGAAACCATTTTTTTTTACCACTTTCCATCTGGCCCATGTAGATAAACAGCCAGACAGGAGCTCTGCCAATGCGGGTGGATGTTTCTAAATGCACCCATTGCCTGTGCGCGCTCCCTGGAAGCGTGTGGCACCACATATCGCTGTATGGGACCTCTTTGTGAAGTTTTCCGATTATGTGATCGCTGATTGGCCAATCAGTGATCACATGAATAGTAGTAAACAAGATGTCACTTCTGACATCATTGCTTACTACATGTGAAATCTGTGAATGATCACAGAGGTCACATGGTACAAGGCTATTCACAACAGCCTGGTACCATGTGACAAGCTGTGACCAATCACAGCCAGCTCTCACAGTGTATATCAATGGCTGCAGGAATGCAGCCAGAGAGAAGGAGAAATGATTGCTTTTACAGCCTTTATGGATGTAAAAGCAATCAGTGTAAAAAAAAAAACCAAAACAATCTTCATCACACAAGTAGTACAGTGTCACTATGGTGACACTGTACTGCTAGGGTGACAGTATGTTAAAAAAAACAGCAACAACAAAAAACATAAATAATTATTTATTTGCAAAATTTTATAAGATAACCTTTTTTTAAAAAAATGTTTGGACTTTTTCATTTATATAGCAAAAAAATTAAAATCCCAGTGGTGAATAAATACCACCAAAATAAAGTTTTATCTGTCTCAAAAAAATGCAAAAAAATTCATATGAGTACAGTGTTGCATGACCGCACAATTGTCATTCAAAGTGTGATGGCGCTGAAAGCTGAAAATTGGCCTGGACAGGAAGGGGGTGAAAGTGTCCGGACCAGGGGCGGACTGACCATTGGGGAACTCGGGCACTGCCCGAGGGCCCGGGGTCAGTAGAGAGCCCCATGAGATGTCCCTGGTACCTTTCATAGGCTTTTTTTGGGTGTGATTTGAGTGTGGGCGAGGACACAGGGGCCCCATGATCCCCTATTGCCCGGGGGCCCCATGAGTTGTCAGTCCACCCCAGGTCTGGACTTGAAGTGGTTAAAGAACTGTATATTGTCATTTTCAATTCTTTATTCGGCCAAATATTGCAATTAAATGCATTCTCTCCTAAAATATAAATAAAAAATATATATTATGCTATGTGAATGGGGACAGGTAACAAACCTAAAGTGGGTATTATGGAGTTTGCATGTTCTTTCTGTGCCTGCGTGGGTTTCCTCCGGGTACTCCGGTTTCCTCCCACACTTCAAAGACATGCTGGTAGGTTAATTGGATCCTGTCTAAATTGGCCCTTGTATATGAATGTGAGTTGGGGACCTTAGATTGTACACCCCTTGAGGGTTAGGGACTGATGTGAATGTACAATATATATGTAAAGCACTGCGTAAATTGACGGCGCTATATAAGTACCTGAAATAAATAAATAAAATATTACCCCAATTTGATTGTATAAGTGGAAATGTCCTTTACGGTGCTTCAGGGTTGCTTCAAGCTGGTTTGAGCTGTCTTTGCATTCCCACTACAAGGGGAGAAGAGCATTTCTGACACAAACAAACATACACAAACCCTAACAACAGATTTGCTAATACTGCCAGAGTTGATTTAGAGTATGCAAAAATGTGTTGATTGCTACTACTAACAAACAGAGGATATATTTGGTCCGTGTGATGCCAAAGACTGACCCAAAGCTGAATGAAACAATACAAATTGTTCTTTGATTATTTTCTATCTATGTAGAGCATCATTTAATTAGGACACATATTTCATTGTACAATAGAGTGCTTGTGGCATGGTTACATCATTTGGAAAGCATAGTACAATCCAGATTTCTATTTAATAGATGCATATAAGATTGGGGACTACAGAGCACCTACTCGCTGAGGTGTAGAATCAGTTGTAGAGGTCACAACAACAACCAGACAGAGTAGAAAGAATCCTTAAAATGGCCCCTAACATCTGCATCACTAGAAAACAACCTCCAGAGGAAGGGGCCCTTTACATTCCCACATCTGAGCCAATTCAAGCTTGTAGTTTGACTCGGTATAAAAAGTCACGGTCATAAACTGCAACAAGAGATAAATAGCAGAAGGGACAGTGGAAGCTGATTTGAACTCCATGACATGACTAGTGGTTATAGAATACGCTGTTTTTCTGCACCTGACTTTGGACTGACAAGGCTTTACACATAGGGGTTGATTTACTAAAACTGGAGCACTCAGAATCTGGTGCAGCTGTGCATGGTAGCCAATCAGCTTCTAACCTCAGCTTGTTCAATTAAGCTTTGACAATAAAACCTGGAAGCTGATTGGTTTCTATGCAGGGGTGCACAGATTTTGCACTCTCTGGTTTTAGTAAATCAGTATGTGTGGTGTGCTCTTTAAGCCCATTTTAACCACTTGCCTACCGGGCACTTTTACCCCCTTCCTGTTCAGGCCAATTTTCACCTTTACCCCCGGTTCACATATATGTGGCCATGCGGGCCGCGTTTTGCACGGGCACGAGAGCCCATTCATTTGAATAGACTCCCGTGCCCCATGACACACAAGGAAGAAGTCCCTGCACTCTTTTGGAAAACGCAGCCTGCGCGGGAACCTCGGTTCCCAGTACAGTTGCGTTTTCCAGTGCGGGCAGCGAGCCATTAGAACTAATGGCACCCGCCCACAGGTCCGCATTTCTCTGTGCGGGTAGTACGGCTGAACGGATTTTCGTACGGATCTGCAGCGGCACCACCCACACAGATGTAAACCTAGGGTTAAGCACTGCTGCACTGTAAATTACAATTGCGCAGTTATACAACACTGTACCCATGTGAAATTTTTATCTTTTTTTTCGCTATAAACAAAAAAAGACCGAAAATGTTGAAAAAAAAATACATTTTTCTTCATTTCTGTTATAACATTTTGCATACAAGATGACAGCTTTTCAGAGAGTAGACTGTCTGAGGTATCTATTAAGAGGCATGGTGATTTTTTTGAAGTTGGCATTTTTTGTCATAATTTTGTGGAATATAAAGAAATGAAAAAACTATTTTCACTTTTTTTTTTTTAACATGCTGTCACCAATCCAATACAGCATCATCCTATAACTGGCATGGTGGTGATCAGGGACACTGACTAGCGACAGTATATTAAAATAATAATAATAATAATGATTTTTTTTTTAATTAAAAATGTTTTACCTTTTTTTACATTTTTATATTTTTTTTCTACTCCTGTGACCAGAGCAATACAATGTTACCATGGTAACATTGTACTACTCTGAGCAAGTGATCAGGATTTTTTTTTTTACACATTATGATTTGTTATACAGCAAATTACATTGGTATAAGCAAGCTGATAACATGCTACAGATAGGCTGTGATTGGCCCAGTCTGTACATGTGATCACTGTGACCAATCACAGCACAGCCGTAAGCAGTTAATTACATAAAAGGAAGACAATCATTGTTTACAACTATCATGTGATCTGCTGTGATCACATGGCACTGGCAGTGGACTGTGTCCCAAAGAAGCGCGGCTCGTGGGGCACTCGCAAAGCGTGATCCTGAGTTCTCGCTCGGCCGATGTACAATAGGCCCAGTGGGAAGACTTTAAAGGCCTGTAAAAAGAACATTCAGTCAATTATCTGTTCGTTATCATAGTACTTTCAACAGCTGATTCTGACTGTTTGAATGAAAAAAACAAAGGTGCAACCTAGAAAATTTTTATTGTATGTGAACACAGTGTCTGATTTTGGCTCAATGTATACTGTAAATGTACAGAAATGATCGAATAGAATGAAATTCACATGATCAGAAGCAAAGAATGACCCGGAAGAAGGAGGCAATGAACGTAGAAATCGTACACAAGAAAGAACGTTTGCTTACGTAGGTCAAACATTTTTGTACAAGTTAATACCATTGTTGGTTACATCATGATATGCATCTTCGTGGAAAATCGCATGATCAATGGTGTGTACTAGGCTTAACTGGCACTCCACCTAGCTCATTCTATCTGCTGCCCAACTGCTTTAAGCAAAGCTTCCCCAGGCTCAGTACCATGTGGTTGGTTAGCATGGGAAGAACCACTAAGCTGATTGGCACTCCATGAATAAATTGAGGCTGTGAGTTCCTAGTACATTTTTGATGTGTTTTTTTGGGAGGTGTCTGTTGTCATTCGGAAGAAACCAGAAAAAATGTAGCAGGAATGCAAGCACTGTTTCTGTTGCATTTTTGCTGCGTTTCCAGTGAAGTCTATGGAACCAGAAACACAACCTGTTGTGGGAAAAAAAAATTCCTGACCCTTTCCAAGAAACTGCACATATGTGAACGTGACCCATAGGAAACCATGTTAAATGGACTGTAGTGCATTTCTGCAAAACGGAAAATGCACTGAAAAATGCATAGGTGTGAACTAGGACTTACTAAAGAAGAAATATAGCCATTCATGCAGGGACCTCTTCTGGTCTACTTTGCATGCACCCACCACATTGCAGTACTTTGCATGTTCAAGTGTGCTAAATGTTTCATCTAGGCATGCAGGAGTCATTTATAAAATTCTCTGCAGCCAGGCTGAGGTTACATTCGACTATGGGGATAGCAATTTTCCATGTGGTGCCTATTGCTGGGGAACTTCTAAGGCTAAAGTTCCCTGCAAGTTGGAAGTGTTTACCACCCTGTTAGTGGTATGAGCTACTACTACCCCTGTTAGTGCTATATAAGCCAGTAATGCCCATCACCTTTTATACTGTAAGTGAGACCTCACATACTCTGAGGGACTACTAGTGCCAGAGTTCTCCTGCAAGGCAGATACGACCCTTTAAATATGAGTGTGACCCTCACTGCCAGCACGTGATAACCAACAGCCTTTATATCAATATCTATGAGCCCACCTACTGTAGATGTGCTACCAGTGTGTTCTACCAGCCAGTTTTGCCTACCACTCTATATATAAAGATGTATGTGTGTAATATAGAAGGCAAAAATATAGGGAAAAGCTAGGGCATTAGGGATTTTAGTTGGGGGAGGAATAGAACACTGAACAGAGGTGCAGAGGGATAAGGCCAAGGCTTTATTATAGCATATTTCTGAATTTGTTCCCTGGGTGGTATGTCAGAGATTGGCACTTGAGTGGAGAGAGAGGGTAATCTACACTATATTACCAAACGTTTTGGGACACCCCTCCAAATCATTGGATTCAGGTGTTCCAATCACCTTCATGGCCACAGGTGTAAAATCAAGCACCTAGGCATGCAGACTGCTTCTACAAACATTTGTGAAAGAATGGGTTGCTCTCAGGAGCTCAGTGAATTCAAGCCTGGTACCACTTCTGCAATAAGTCCATCCGTGAAATTTCCTTGCTACTAAATATTCCACGGTCAACTGTTAGTGGTATTATAACAAAGTGGAAGCAACAGAGAGGGGTCAGCGCATGCTGAAGCGCACAGAGCGCAGAAGTCACCAACTGTCTGCAGAGTCAATAGCTAAGGACCTCCAAACTTCGTGTGGCCTTCATATTAGCACAACAACAGTGTGTAGAGAGCTTCATGGAATGGGTTTCCATGGCCGGGCAGCTGCATCCAAGCCTTATGTCACCAAATGCAATGCAAAGCATCAGATGCAGTGGTGTAAAGTGCGCTGCCACTGGACTCTAGAGCAATGAAGACATGTTCTCTAGAGTGACGAATCAAACTTCTCTGTCTGGGTTTGGCAGTTGCCAGGAGAACGGTACTTGCCTGACTGCATTGTGTCAAGTGTAAAGTTTGCTGGAGAGCGGATTATAGTGTGGGGTTGTTTTTCAGAGGTTGGGCTTGGCCCCTTAGTTCCAGTGAAGGGAACTCTTAATGTGTCAGCATCACAAGACATTTTGGACAATTTCATGCTCCCAGCTTTGTGGGAAGTTTGGGGATGGCCCATTCCTGTTCCAACATGACTGCA